ACCACCTCTTCACATCATCATAACGTCAAAGTACTTCACAGGATTTACTGTCTAGTGTAGTGACTGTGTATTTCGCAGGCGAACGTGGCAGCCAATTTGTGCACAGTAATGTCCCTCAAACAGCTATTAAGCGACTCACCAATTTTATCTTGACGAGAATACTGGGAGCAACTCCCTTCTCTTTTCGAACAGTGCCACTGGAGCTTTTAACGTCTACCTGACCGAGCAGAGGGGTCTGCTGATCCCTGCAATATATACACAGGGGCTGTTATTCCTCATAATAATAATAATAATAATCCTTGCATTTGATAAAGTGCTGCTATTCCTACACAATATTTCCTATTTCAAAGCAGGAGATTCAATCAGGCTGTTGATTCCACCATCAGCAGCTAAATAAACCAACACAACTAGAAATACCCCCAAATTTTGCATTAAATAACAGATGTAGTAGAAGCAGGAGTGCGCTGAAAGCATCTATGATTCAAATGACAGTAATAATCCTCTGGAACATCATCTGGATCCACTGAATTTTAACATGTTCCACGCTCTGTATAACACCCCCAACCTCAATCTGATTCCTGTTCCTCGTGCTCCTGGGTTTCGATGCTGCAGTTTTATCCAAAAACTGAACTGAGGCAACAGCCAGCAGGTGGAGATCTCACAGTTCATTTCTGTGGTTTCCCGGCACTTAAAACAGCGGAGCAGCAGGCAGTAGGTGCGACAACTCTTTTCTGCACTTTTCGGAACATTAAAACTTTTCCCTCTTTGCTGTTTTAGCAAGAAGCGGTCTGAACTGTATAAGCAGGAATTGTCAGAACGACTTGTCTCCCTGAACGACAGTCACTGTCCAAGAGGGCAGGTAGGTTTCTGGTCACAAGATCACTTCCTCTTGTTAATAATACTTAGACCATAAAACCATAAGATGTAGGAGCAGGAGTTTTGCCCCTCGAGCCTGCCCCGCCCTTTAATAAGATCATGGCTGATCTTCTAACCTAATTCCATTTACCCGCCCTATCCCCGTATCCCTTAATCCCTCTATCCTTTAGAAATCTATCAACCTCAGTCTTGAAGATGTTCAAGGACTGAGCAACCACAGCCTTCTGGGGAAGAGAATTCCACAAATTCACTACCCTCTGAGTGAACAATTTCTGATTATTATCCAGTCATTTATGCTGAAAAATGGGTGTGTTGAGGTCATGAATGGCTTTCGGTTGCTGTGCCCCCATTGCAGTTGAATATTCTGGTTCATTCACCCCCCGACCGTACACATGAGGATTGGATCCTTGGCTGAGGTACCAAAGGGTGCCCGATGGCAGCTCAGAAGCTTGGCAGCAGGAAATTGGCACAAACAGTTAAGAAATAAAAACGACAACCATAGAACATTTTGCCTACAATCCTTGTTTTTTTTTTGAAAAACAAGAGCCAAACAAAGCTGTTGTGAGACTTTGATGTAACGAAGAGCTATGTGCAAAACAGCCCCAGAACAAACTCCAGGAAGTAAAACATTGACTTGTTTACTGTTTATGGTAATTTCTCCTGCTTTTAAATAAAGAATAATGGTTACTGGGAGTGATTACCAGGCAGTAATCGAATCGCGGATTCAGATGGTTCTGAGAGCAGAACTCGAGTGGATTGTAATTATGAGCTGTGAGATTTGAGTCGAGTCCTGAAATCACTCCCTGGTATCGGGCGTTATTTATAATCTGCAGTGCTGAGGTTTCATGTGGGTGTTTGGCTCTGGGTTTGGGACCAGCAGCAGCTGTAGGTGTGAGCCACATGGCTTGGGGAGCAGACACCAGATAATTAATGGTCATGATGTATCCTGAACAAAGCTGCAGCTGAGAATGGGCAATTCAACATCTAACCAGAAATGCATCTTTCGGAGTAAGTTACAAGGATTCTGTTCTTATCGAGGGTTTGGATGGTTTACATGAAAAAGACCATCTGACCTCGGAGTGCCAGATGGGGCAGTTAAAAGGGAACTTGACTCTACTCATGCTTTCTCTGACCTGAGGGCTGGATGGGACCGTGTAGAAGGAGCTGTATCTACTGCGTGATGATAAATCTGAGTCCTTCACACCTGACTGAAAGTAAAAGAAGGTGGGATGGGAGTGGGGGAGAGGGTATGATAACTTCTGAAGCTTATTTTGCTGCTGCTGAAAGAGGTTGTAAAGTTTAACAAATGACTGCATCAGGAGACACAGGAGTTGGTGAAAAGTTTATAGGAATTTAAAATGCACTGTTCACACTATTTTGTCCTGACCAACAATCCATCAGATATAATTGGTCATTCACATCATGGCTGTTTGTGGGACATTGCTGTGATCTAGTTGGTTGCTGCGTTTGCCTATGGATACAGTCACTACTGTACAGTAATTCCTGTGAATAAAGCGCTTTGAGACATCTTGGCGATGTGATAAGGTGGTGCTATATCGAATGCAATTACGTATTATTATTACATTCAGAAAGTCCATTCACAAAGTGGAGTTCAGTCCAACGCTGGGACGTTGCTGCCCTGCTCGTGTCCCTGTGGTGGATTAAGGGGCGGAATGTTAAAGTCCTATGGGAAGCACTTGCACAGCCTCTTGGACAAAGCTGGGGAATTAAGACATGAGGAACTCGGGAAAGACTAAAGAACTGGCCCTCTGTAAACAAAACTAGCATGTTTTTGACAAACTTTAACATACTGTGACAGCAGGTCAAGCTAATTACAGCCATGGTGTACGTATTGCATTCAGCCTATTAACTGCATTCTCCAATGATTTATTTCTGTGTTTTAATAAAATCCAAGAAAATACCTCACCTGCAGTTAGAACTAACTAGGAAACATCTATTTGTACTTTTCAAGCAGTCTGGGTGGGGGGTTCCTATGCAAATATCAGTTAAACCTATTGATCAGTGATTAATGCCACTGTATCTTGTGTAGAAGTTCATGCCAGCACTCAGCTCCAAGCCTACCCCAATGATGCTCATCTTCAGAACATATAATAAGAAATCCCTTTATACATAATCCACCCACAAAATACACAGCCAGTCCTCCGACTCCCTGTTCCTCTCAATCTCACACCCTACATATTTGACCGTACGTTTGGTCATCTTTCCTGTCGCACCCACTTGGCTCCCATCCCCGGCTCGGGTGCTCAAGCAGTTCTGTTAAGCATTTTGGGATGTCCTCCTGACATGAAAAGCCCTATGTAAATTGGTATTGTATTGTGTGCAGTTTTGGGTGCTATAGTAAAGAAAGGATAATAGATATGGAGAGGGTGCAGTACAAATTCACAAGAATGAATCTTCAGGTGAGAAGATGCAGCTGTGGAAGGCTGGAGAGATTAGCACATTTTCCATGAGAGCAGAGCAGGTTGAGGGATAAGGGATGTTTAACACAATGAAAGGGTTTGAGTGGATAAGCAGTGAGAAACTATTTGGATTGGTAGAAGATTGAGGACAAGAGGGTGTGAATTTGTTTGATTATAACTCAGGGAGTGAAAGGGGAAATTAGGAAGAATTATTTTCTCCCAGATCAGAGGGGTATCAGAATAAGAAATGATTTGCTGGGGTTGCTGTGGAGCAACGTAATTTGGGGGGAATTTAAAACAAAATGAGATAACTGCATGCTGAGGAAGAATATTAGAAGACATAGGAAAAAAGCAGGGAACTGGGATAGACAGAGGGTTCTATTGGAGGGACAAGCCTTGTAATCCTATAGAGATTTGTCTCATCACTGTAAACAAAACACTGAACATTCGGGCCATTGTAACGTGGTGTCAGCACCTCTGGTCAATGGTCACTATGGTCAATGCAGATTATCCCTACTGCAGTAATAGCCTTGGAAATTCCCCTCAATTCGCATCTGGAATAAATCCCAGATTTCTCGCTGCCTATGAATTTCCTCTCTGGTTATTTTCCTAGTTGTCAAATAAGTTGGGAAGAACTCCGGACACAGAGAGTAGGCACTTCTCGGTGTTTTTCCGATATGAACAGTCTCCGATGGCACTTAGACATTTTGTTTTATTCTCAGCTTCTTTTTCATGGAAGCGAGCAGCATCACTGCAACGAGGCACAGTGTAATATCAAAGTGATGGATCTTGTTCAGCAAGTGGGAAATCAAAATCTGCCCACCAGCGCTGCTCAAGACAGAACAGCTTAGCTGCTTGCTCTAATGTTTAAATTAATGTTTCATTATGTTTTTTTATTTTCTACTTGAGATTTCCAAATAAGCTTCAACATCTGTCTGAAACACTGTCCCATCAGGTGTCGCAATTCTCTCTCTCTCAAGCCCACGACAAGCTGGTTGGATGATTAACAGTGTGATGTGCGTGATATGAATTTGCAGAGATGAGTGCGATTTTGTTAGTTGCTCAGGGCCTCCTGGACGCCATTGTTTCACTCGCACTTTATTTCTAGATGTTGATCAGGAGCGGGAATCCTGGCCTGTTTTTCCACTTCTTAACCCAGGGTTACGGAAGTCAATTGTAGCCCAAGTGTTGTGAGATGAGGTCATGGACTGAAGCTGGAATGTCTTGATCTGCACAGCTCAGTTGACTAGTTGGGTGCGTTTTTTCAACGGTGTCATGAGGAAACCCAGCTCAGCATCACTTTGACCAGCAACCACTGGCATGGTGAGCGTAACAAACAACCTTTTTTTAAAATTAATCTCTTTGGTATTTTTGGATGCTTTGATTTGAACAATGAGCCCTGAGGAGTGTGTGTGTGTTTGTCTATGTATGTGTGTGGTGTGTGTGTGTGGTGTGTGTGTGTCTATGTATGTGCGTGTGGTGTCTGTGTATGTGTGTCTATGTATGTGTGTGTGGTGTGTGTGTGGTGTCTGTGTGTGGGTGGGTTGCACAGATGCTGCCAGTCGGGACCTCACTCGTGTGGCTGTTCTTCAAGTATGAAGATGGACTGTCAGTGTCAGCAAGCGCCCAATCCATGGTCTATAGCCTGCTGATACTAACAGTCCAGGAATAGGCATTTAGTAAGATACCAGGCCAACAATTTTAGGAGAAAACATTATTATTCAGGTTCATAATCAGATCCAGGATGAAATTGTTTTACATGAGGCCACATGATGTTATACCCTCACCCGGGAGGGTGTATCACAAAGAATATTCCAAAATAACACAACAAAAACATAGCTAGCGTGATAGTTAATTACCAAAACCGACCTTGCCTGCTCCTTGGAACCACTGCATGCTCCCAATAAGTTGATAGGCCTCTGAAAGACGCACACTACCCAAGAAGAGGACAGTTTTGATGTTGGTCGAACAATGCCACCTACGCACTGGATTGGCTCCAACACTGGTTACATATTGGCAGAGTTTCTGGATGCTGATAGTTAATAAGGCTTATTGGAAACCAATATGGTTTCCGGATTCAGGAGACCTCTGATGGACGCAAACACATGTTGCCTTCAGCTCGTTCCCTGCTATAAAGAAGCACATTCATTGCTCATTATAACAGACATTGTGTAGGACACTCGAGAGAACAGCTCTGATACCTTCCACTACTGTCAGTTCAGAATTCTGTGGTTTCAGTGAGATAACACCAGGAGGTGTGTGGTATGCTGAGTATAAAATAGCTTTATTGTGGTTTTGCTGGAGGATCTCAGCGTGCTCTGAACGAAGACGAGGGCTTACTGGAGTTCTTGAAAGTGTCTTGCTTCCCGTTTCTTGGCGTGGGGCCTGAGTTCACTGTGTGAATGCTGTGCAAGGCGTTTGGCTGCTGAGAGGCAATAAAGCAAGTTGCGTTGAATTGTGCGGGAGAGTACATTTCGTGCTTGGGAACAATTCACAGCGAGAGAGCTGAAACAAGAGAAAGAACAGGAAAGAAAATAGAATGGGATGATGTAAACACTTGTCAGGTCACTGCAAGTCAGCACTTTCTTTTCCCTCACCACCACTCCAGTGCTTGGGACAATCAAATACAAGTTAAAGATCCGAAAGGAATATCTCCTTATTCCCCATCGACAATCCTCCAGATAAATTGATTATTGATTGCAGCTATTTATGGGAAATCACTGCGCCCTAATTTGGCTGCTGCATTCACCTACAAATACACAGCCTTTTACAGAAACTTTGAAGCATTTTGAGACATTTACGTTTCACACCTATATTCAATTTAAGGATTATTATTATTTATCATAACCCTCCCTCTGCTCCCTTTGTTTCCAAAGGTCTGGATATGGCACTGGACAATTTCCAGGACATAGTTAAAGTGGCCATTCTTCATGTGTGGACCCAGATAGTGAGTGTTGACAGGATATTCAACTGCAGGGAGTTGTAGTGAACCCAATCCTGTCCTTACCCCATATCCTCACCACATCCACACACATGCCTTCCACTGGGAGGATGTCACTGGATATCGACTGGAAGCAGGAACCCTGGCTGATGTTTCCTTTTTTAATTGAGGAGGCATAAGGCCAATCGTAGCCCTGACTGATGCCCTCGCTGAGCTCAGCTAACTCACCAAAGCGACATTTCAAAGCTGAAACCTTCCCTGTTTGTCTAGCTCAGACTCACAACACGCAGTGCTTCTATCAACTGAGCCAGTGGAGTTCAAGTGACCATTTTATCATTCTTCGAGCAGTACCCTTTGTCAGGGAGAAGAGCTTTGTGGTTGTCTTTTGCAGTACACAATCTTTTGTTTCTGTTACACCAGATGATACCACAATATGCTGGAACTGGGGACAAGTGGAACAGGAACAGATGTCTCTCCAATTGGACCCTGGGGGTGCTGAGAGCATGGAACAACTTAAAGGAGAAATAGTTTTGGGTAATAACAGGCAAGCTGCACACTTCCTGTACAGTGATGCTCACTTCAGTGACTGGGTCTGCCCAGAGTTGCACTCAGGGGTGTAAGCAAACACCCCCCCACCCACACACAGTGTGCTGAAGGTCAGAGCTGCTCAGAATGAGACTGGTGACTGGTGCTCACCTGGGGGAGGGAGGCGGGCAGCTGTTTATTCCAGGGATGAGGGTGGTGGTGGTGGTATTTATTTCGGGGCCGAGGTTATTGTTTACCCCGGGGGTCGGCTGCTGTTTACCCTGCGATTGGGCAGTTATATCTGCCCACGGAAAGTGTCCCCCCAGGTACAGTGTGTGTGTATTTCACTGTACTTGCTCTGACACTGATATTCACTATCCTCTATCCTTTTGAACTGTGGAAGCGATTACCTTCTTTAACCATCAGCCGGTGAGCAGTTTAACTGAATTCAGACGATACAGAGTGTGCATTTCCTTGCATTCTGCCTGCGCTGCAGGTGTGGCTGTGTGGCTCCACAGCAATAAATATTTAATTCCTTTTGTAATGTAAGTGCAGCCTCAGCACAAGCTACTGGTGGGGTGGCGAGGTCATGTGATAAAGGAAAAGCAACACACTCAATTTGGGTGATGTGGAACAGCATGGGGGGGTGGGGGGGGGAAGAGCGCGAGGGGAGGGGGTGTCAGTAAAACTGAACCAGGCGTTAGTAGTGGTAGCAGTGACCCCCACAAAATGCTCGTGCCATCCACAGAACGCAATGTTTGCTTCAATTTAACAATGACCAAATCACACACCTCTGAGCAACAACAGTCATGTCCTTGATGAATCAGTACCCCTAATCCTGTCCCCACTGATTCCCACATCCCCATCTACACTAGCCAGTGACCGCACTCCTCTTACACCCAACGTGTGGAAGATGTTCCTGTCAGTCAGTCCAGTGAATCTGTGCACCATTCCCGAGATCCCCCTCAGTTACAGACCGCAGACACACAAATTGCCCCTGGTATTTTGCTGGTACGAGGCTTACATGCACTTACTTTTACAACTCGTAAGCTTCCATGAGATAATCCTTTGGGACAATACCAACGACACCTTTCAGCTCTCCAACCCACCAACCGTACGAATTGTATTCCTGAAAAGAAGGAGAAAGGAATTAAATGACATTGTACCTTTTCCTCTCTGTTAAACCAGTTCTATGTTATCCATCTTCTCCTGATGGTGATGATTAATGCTGGGTCCAGGTCCATGGCTCTCTCTTGTACCTCATTCTAATTAAGCCTTGGGTAGTCTCGTGGAGTCCTGTAGCTCAGTGGTTAGAGCACTTGCCACAAGTAAGCGAGAGGACCTGTGTTCAATTCTTGGGCAGGGCGAAATATTGGGCAAGTTTCCTTACTCCACACACGCGCCTCTTCACCCAGCAGTAAGTAGGAACCCGGTTGTTAGTCGATTAGCGAATTGCTTTTCCGTGGGGTAAAAATCCCTTAAAAAAAGTAACAATTTGGTCACTCAATCCATGACTGTTTGCGGGACACTGCTGTGCGCGGTGTTTGGCTGCTGGGTTTCGCCCTCAAAATATACAGTCAATTCACTTTACATGAAGCGTTTTGAGACGTTTTGAAAACTTGATAAGGTGCTGTATCAAATGCAAGGATTATTATTACTACTACTATTATTACTATAAAGCTATGCTTGGCTTAGTTTGTACTTGTCCAGGAGTGACTTTTTACTGCATTTTGTGAACCCAAAGTGGTAGAGTCACTCAGTTTGAAAGTCAGATTTGAATATAAATTATTAACATTGCGCTAAGCTATTCCCTGTTGCAAACTAAGAAGTGTCTGAGAAATTATTTGCCGTTCTTGCCTGGTTATTGCTGATGTAATTTCAAGTCAGCTAATTACATAAATGCCTCCGACAATCGTTAAGTAAAAAGGGAACAAAAGACAGATTGGAACACATGCAGACCATACAACCCAACGCCCTCGCCTCTCCATCACTGCTCCACACTGTGCCAAACAGCAGCAAAGTGAAGCACCATAAAACCCCTAAAGCTCCCATTTCTAAAACCTTTAACAGTGCCCACATTAAACCGTGCAGATGTTTTCTAATTATCCTAAATTTGCAATAAACTGATCCAGGTTTGGAATCCTGATCAGCCAGACCTCTGGCTGCTGGGACTTTGATTAAACACCTCTCTGTGAAGCACACCGAGCATAACAGTCTCTCTCTGGTGATGGTGTACATATCAAAACCTCTTCCAGCTTTGCCTCCCTGTTTCCCAGCTTTGTAGTAACAGTCAGAAGGGGAATTGGCACCACGCACTCACCATATTACGGAATGAATTGCACCATTAGGGCCTCGATACTGAATGAATAACAAGTGGCTAGTGAATGCTATCAAACACACTTTGTGCTTGAGCGACACATTGTTAAGTGACTATATCCAGGTACTCCTCGGTGGCCTGGCCTCTTAGCCTGCTGCCAGCACTGAATGGGTAATATTTTTGCTGACGCCTATTTAAAGGCTGTTAGATTTTGCCATCAAGTCTGTGCTATAAGCTGGTTATAAGGAGCTTGCCAGTGCAAGAGGCACCATCCATCAAACTTAAACCAGCAAAACCACCTCACGTTTGATACATAGAAAAAAAAGCCCAATGAATCAAACAACCTCTTGGATTATGATTGCTTATTGCTGTTATTACTGCTTACTAATAACGTAATCATATTTTACATCAGCCACAACGGCACTCGGTGACGTGACCTGTGCTGTAAAGCATGGAGCCTGCAATAACATTTTGGTAATGTGGCTGCAATAATAGATTAGCATTTCGCAATGAGGCACCTTCCATTCATTTATGCCTCTGCAGTGTGAGAATCAATCCCACGCTCTCACACCTTCTCAGATCAGACTTTGGGACATGAAAGGCACTATATAAATGTAAATTGTATTATATTTGCCTGTGATGATACCTTGCGGAAAAAAAAGGGCTGGAATGGAGAACGACACCTGATTCTGTGTCTCGATCTCTGGAGAAGGTAAATGTGGGGCCAGGTGATGTGAAGGCTGGATTTCTGGTTCGTGTAAAGGGAGAGGTGAAACCTGAATAGTCCACGATTGAGAAACAATGGCGGGGAGGGGGTGGAGTGTGGGAGACAGACACTTTAACTGTGAAGTCTCTCGTGGCAGGGAAAAGGCCAGCTTGCGGTTAACAATCTTGGAATGTAATAATAATAATAATAATCCTTGCATTTTAAATAACTTCTTCCACATGGGTAGGACGTGTCAGAGTTCTTCACAGGATTTCACTGTGGGATGATTTTGTAGTTTGGACACGGCAGCCAATTTACACACAGCAATGTCCCAAAGCAGCAAAACCAATGACCATTATTTTAAATCTGAGGGATTGTCAGCCAGGACTCACGAGACCCTCCTTTTCCTTTTTGAATAGTGCCATGGGAGCTTTAACAAGGATGGAACCCGCAATAATGCAGTGCTCCCCCAGCATTGCATTGGAGTGTTAGCCTCGACTGTCATGTCAAAGTCCTAATGTGGGGTTTGAACTTCTGACTCAGCGATGAGAGGGCTACCAACTGAGCAAGCTGATACCTAAATGTGTTGTACCTTTCCGGAGAGCACAGCTTACAGTGAAAAAAAATGGCTCAAGGCTCCATTCTGTAACATAATCATCACTCCAGCTTCAGTAGTTATTATTAGGTCATGATTTGTGATGCCTTGTTTGATCTGATGATGACCACTGGTAAGTTTCACTGTTCTTGTCCAGTGAGGACAACAGTATTTCTCAGGGTTGGGAACATGCTTACACCTGAAAGTCTCACCGGTGAATAAAGTAGGCTGATCAACCTGTAATATTGTTTTGAATTACTATGGAGATGTATAGCAATGCGTTTTGGGTCGATGTAAACCTAGAGAGCGCTAGAGATACCTGTTCTTCCCCAGGAGAATTATATATATGTTCATGTGCAAGAGGTAATAAAAACGGCATTCAGCCCATCTGCTCACTTATAATAAATAACATAATAATCCTTGTATTTGATATAGCGCTTTTCATGTCTTCTAGATGTCTCAAAGCGCTTCACAGAATATGCTGTAAAGTGAATTGACTGTCTATTTGTGGGCGAAACGCGGCAGCCGATTATGCACAGCAATGTCCCACAAACAGTCGTGGATTGAAGTGACGAAGTTATTAATTTTCTTTTCTTAAGGGGTTATTATCAGGAGTGTGGAGTAAGGAAACTTGCCCAAGGTTTTGCCCTGCCAGGAATCAAACCCAGGTCTCTTGCTTGCGAGACGAGTGCTCTAACCACTGAGCTACAGGACTCCACTTCAGAGATTACATAAAATACATTCTGCTATGAACTTCATCCCACTACTTTAATCCCCTAGGGAATGGGCTACAGAGAGACTTCCTTAGGTATTCAAACAAAAGCTCAGGGAAAATGAGCATTATGTGGAGTTCACCTCCAGGTTCCTGGGAAGCAATGTGCTGTGTTGCAGTAGCTCAAAGTTCCTCGGAAGATTACCTCTCTCGAATCCTGGAACATTACAAGGGATACTTTTCTAGCAAAGCGACCTGACTTGGGGTTGAGCAGCTAATATGGAGCAACGACTGATCTGAGACTTAATAAGGTGAAGGATGGGCATCTCAGCAGATCGGAGAGGTAGGGAGTTGCGAGGGCATGAAGGGATTTGAAAATGATTGAGAGGATCTTGAAGTCAATCTGTTCGGTGACTGGGAGCCAGTGGAGCCTGGCAAGGACTGGTAAGATACAGAGTTTTTTGTGGGTGAGAATCAGGGCGGCGGAGTTTGGGATTAATTGGACTTTGTGTATGGTGGAGCTGGGGAGACCAGCGAGGAGGGTTTTGGAATAGTCCAGCCGGGAAGTGACAAATGTGTGGACGAGTGTTTTGGCTGCGTTGATTGTGAAGTCCAGATGGAGGCGGGCAATGTGTATTCAGTAAAGAATAAAAAGATGTTGGAGGGCTACTTGCACCTATAGCCTGGCAGTGACTCAAAGGCAGATAGAAAAGATAAAACATATTTTGCGTTGGGTTTCACTTGTACTGCGGGATGTAAAACTGTTAATAGCATTCTAGTCTTCTGTATTTCCAAGCATGCACTTTACAGAGCCTCAGTCCTGCCATGCAAAGGACCTATTACGTGAACTGTCTCACTATTTAGGACCGTCTTAAATACTTGGAGAAAGGAGAAACTTTGAGGTTAGTGGGGCTGAGGATCAATCTTTGCTCTCAGAGAACAACTTTAACATTTACCATTTACATGACAGACTTTTATGAAGGTAAAAATGATCTGGGATGTTAGTTGGGTTGTCAGTTATCGTGGCCAAACAGTTGAGACTGTAATAAAGTAGGCTAACTAGTCAGGCTGCACCTGGACTTGTGTGTGTTTAACATTTGTTCCACTCCTGAGGTTCCCAATGAGGTATGTATCCCTTGATTGTGTTCCTCACCATCATTAGCTAAGTAGATCAGACTGGACAAGCTCGATAACTCAGCTAGAATCAATCCACTGGAGAATACACTTTACTGAGGACAAGATCAGCTAACTCAACACAGACTAGGATTCGAATGTGATACCTTCCTAGTCTATGCACTTGTTTCGTATTGAACTGTGGTTTTACCAACAAAGTCATTAGAGAAGCATGCGACTTTACACTTAAAACTGTTGAATCTATTAATTGGTAACAATTTGTGTAAGTACGAAAGAGAAATAAACCTTCATAGTAAAGGAAATTGGAGCATCTTTTCCCCCACAAGCTCACTGGACCCTCACCAGTCTCTTCCATTTCTTCTCTAATCTCTTTGTCTGTTGTATGACTCATCCCTGAGTTATTTTCTTAGTCTCAAATTGTGCGACTCAGTTTGAGTATCTTTGCATCTCTTCCAAACAAACGATAAGCTATCTATGTCTCACCAGAGAAATTAGCAACAAAAACTTATCAGTCATCATGTTGTGGTATGTTATCCACATCAGTTCTTAACATTCCAAAATGAGAATTCTGGGTTTTTATTAGTGTTTTTTCTATCCTAAAGACACCCACTTGGCTTCACTAAGGATTTGAAGATTAGGAGTCACAGTGAAATACTGTCAAAGCA